GTTTCTCAGAAAGGCATTTCAAGATGTAGATAAAGAGTTTCCTTCTTCACCAAAGGAATGTGTCTCTAATGTGTGGTCTGCAACTGAAATGGCAACTGTCCCTGGTACATTTAGCTCACTAAGACTTCTTGGTAATTGCTCACAATTCTTGAGGCAAAATTCAAGTTTGGACTCATAAGGAGCATAAACATCACAATTATCATGCTACAAACATCAACTTGCTTTCAAACTGCATAATTCCACACCCACATATCTCTCTGTTCTATTCCACATCCCCCTTCAACCTCTTCAGTCTGCCAACAAATCTGGCCTCACCACTTCTTTCGATCTTTTCTCCTACATATGCTTCATAAAATTATAGGAACAGATTTTGCCACCTTCTGAAGGGTGCTGTCTATCTTGCTACCCCATGAGTTTGGAATATACTCTCTATCCATTCAAATCCATCCTAAAGATTCACTTCTTATGTGAGAGCCACAAAAGCTAACTCTCATCAGTTTAGTGATAGAAACGTAGCCGTGTTAGTCAGTTTAAACTGTCATTACTCCATTACAAAGCAAACAAAACTCTCCAAACTACAAGTTGATCTTCTCTAGTTTGGCACCCTTGGGACCTGACTGATGCCCAACCAGAGAATTTGCCAAACCATGGGAAGTCAATATTGTCTAGCAGCATTACCAACACTTTCACTGCTTACTGGGCTATTAGAAAACATTTAGGGGTAAATTAGAGCTAAATAACAGCACAGAACACTGGGAGCCAGGGCTGGTGGCTATAAACAAACTTCATGGGGTTCCGCAAAAGTTGGCCACACCCATGATAAGTAGACATCTAGCTAATGAAAATCATGCTCAACCACAGATTTTGCCAGACCACAGGGTGCCGGACAAGAGAGGTTCAACCTACAGTACCATCCTCTGCTATTTTTACACCGAGTCTTTATATAATTTGGTGTAAATGGTAAACACCTTTGGACAGGAACTTAGTAATCTTTTGCATAATTAAACAATAATTATTTTATACTTATTAATTCTTGAAAGCACGCTCTCTCTATATCTATATATATTTACTATATATTTGAGAGAGTTTGTCTGTCTGTCTGTTTATTCAAGAACCCCTAAATAGTAAGATCTAGGACCACCAAATTCAGTATACAGCTTCCTCTTATCATAACTTAAAGCAAGGTAAGGGTGTGGCTGTGCCATGAAAATGGGATATAGCTGGAATGGATTGCGTCTCATAAAACTATTTAAAAAAAAAGACAGAATCATCAGGTAGGGGAAGGCTAAGGGCAACACCTCCCCTCCCGGACTGTTCCAGCCCCAAGCTTCCTTAGTGTATCTACTAGGTCAGTGGTCTTCAACCTTTTTACACCCAAGATCACTTTTTAAAGCCCTGCCCTCTCTATTCTCCTCCTGTCCATCATTTGCTATCCCCAGCCCTTACTTACACACTCTGATAAACAGTTTATTTTTCAGTTACGCGATGTATAAAATTAAAATCACGTGTTTATAGTTCTGAAATAAATGGTCTGTTTTGTATTCATGCTATTTAAATCTAAAATGAAGCATTTATAATTATACATTTTGTGGTGACAGAGTTCTGCGGCTGGGGGCAGGGGAGAGGGAACAGGGTGCTGGGAGGGCAGAGGACAGGGGTCTGCCGCAGGGAGCAGAGTGCCAGTGGGGGGCAG